TAAAATCGGATTTGGTTCTTAATTAAAAATGCTCGTACAGCATTGTTACAATCAATCATTTGCAATATATTTAAATGACTTCCTATATAAATATCGCGTGCTTATCAATATTTAGAAGCTTTTTATCGGTATTTCTGTTTAATATAAGCTAATCCTCACTCTTTTCAGAAGCAAATAACCTCACAACAATTAAAATCATTCCCACTTTAAAGTATCGTAAAATGGGTCAACGACAAAGCGCTTTGTAAACTTAATTTTTGCAATTCAATCAAGGCTTATGTGGCATGTGAAATCATTAGCTCAGCCAAAAATTTAATGCAATTAATGACTGTATGGTGACATTATAAACTTATTAAATATACATTTGTAAAACTGTAAAACATAGTCATAATAAGTATATGCAGTCTAGATAAATTGTCACAATGTCTGCCCAAACAAATGTATAAATATAATTTAATTTTACTTTGTGATTATAAATAGTACGTATAATTATCATTATTAATAGAAATTTTGTCAATCAAAAGGCTGAAATTAGTAGACAATAGGAAAATCTAGTTATAAAATTGATTAAATGGCTTTAGAGAGATTTAACGCTTAAATTCGTTCGGTATAATTGGACTCTCGAGAAACAGATAGAGATATTTTTTTCACTAGTTTACAAATACAAATGCATATTATCTTTGGTGTATTTGTCGCTGTTACCTTCATTATACGACACTTTTATTTCAACAATATTTACGAAGTACTAAAAAAAGGGAGTGAAATTTTAAAAAATAAAGCACATATGTTTGCATATAAATATTCCTGAGAGAAGGTACAATAAATAAATAAAGTTTACGAACGAAAAAGTACGACGTTTAAAGTATATACATTTAAATGAAAGAAAAGAGAGAGAGAGAGAGAGAGAGAGAGAGAGAGAGAGAGAGAGAGAGAAACGACTACACTCGTATAATTATGTGAAGATAAAGAGTGTACAATTATTTATTATTGTATATCAGAGACGGCAATTTTTTTTTCTTACGTACGTATTTTACTTTTATTTTCAGCTTAAAAAGCAATTTATATTACAATGTGAATTAAAAAGTTTTACTCACATTTCATTAATAAAATAGGAACAATTTGGAAAAATTAAAAATTCGTTCTTTTCTATAAAACCGCTATAAGAAATTGAAAAATTAAATTAGTGTAATTGATGAAATTTACAATTGTTGTAAATATTATTATTATTATTATTATTATTATTATTATTATTATTATTATTATTAGAATATTAAAATATACATATTATTGAAAAATATTGTGAATTTAATAAATCTAATTATTACTAAAGAATTCAATATTATTTATACGACATTTTGCAATGAATATTAATAAACATTACCGCGATAGATTTTGAAGATGAAGATGATGAAAAGCTTTAATATATTTAGTAATTCCTTGAAATATTTTATTTCTTTCCTTTTAAACACTCAAAAGCCTTATATATCAACCGAAATATTACATCTTTGCTAAAAAGTAATTTTTCATCTTGTATTGCCTAGAATATTCACGATACTAATTATGTCGTGATTCGCTGCAGTTAATTCCGTGGAATTGCGCATTGCTTATTAAAGAGTTTGTTTAAACATCGGTTAGGATTTTCACGAAACGATAAGCATAATGGTGCTCGTTAAATGCAAGACTGCTTTGCCGTTACCTCCTCCTCCTCCTCC